TTCTTGTGTATCTCGGAAGTGAGATGGCTTTGGCTACAAGATACCCAACGTAGCCAATAACCTTCCAGTTTCCGTCTGACCGAGTCAGACACCTGAGGCCTTCCTCACCTTGGCCTGCAAGAGAAAGAATTCACATACCACAGATTCCAAAAGCCTGAGTTTATACCCTTCCTGCACTCAATACAGGTGGTATCAGTTAGCTTTAAAACTGCACCCCTGTATGCTAGCAGCAAATGGAGTTGCACCCACATTTCTTTCTGGCCATAATCTTGGGGGCTTGACTCAAGCCACAAAGACCTCTGCAACGAATGAGCAAAAGAATACAGTTCTTGCCAGTGATTTGTGAGCCACCACATTCCCAAAAGTCACATGCCCTGCCACAGCACAGATTAATCCTAGATACTGCAAAGTCGAATGCTCTCTCACACGCTGCCTGACTTAGTACCCTCAAAGTCAGAGATCAGTTGCTAAAAAGAGCAGAGCTCAGACCTGATGACCTCGAACGCTTGCAGCAACATGAGGAAAGTACTCCCCAAAAAAGCGAGTTAGTGTTTTTTGCTGTGTTCCTTGAGTTGCCTCAAGATCATCAACAGTCTCTGTCCCGTTTGGGTTGCCAGACCTGTCAAAGGACAAAATCACAACAAATTTAGCATAAGGATCTCAATTGTCTTTATTGTGATTCTAGCATCAGGCAATGCTTCATTCCAAAATGGAGAGTAAGTCTTCTTGTTGCCCTTTATTTTTTCTTTTTTTTTTAAGACGGTCTCGCTTTGTCGCACAAGCTGGAATGCAGTGGCCCAATCTCAGCTCACTGCAACCTTACGGGTCCAAGCAATTCTCCTGCCTCAGCCTCCTGAGTAGCTGGGATTACGGCGTGCACCACCATACTCAGCTAATTTTTGTATTTTTAGTAGAGATGGAGTTTCAGCATGTTGGTCAGGCTGGTCTCGAACTCCTGATTTCAAGTGATCCACCTACCTCAGCACTCCCAAAGTGTTGGAATCACAGACGTGAGCCACCATGCCCGGCCCTTGACTTGATCGCCTTATCATTGTTGTCTGTAGTGATTTTTCAGTTGACTCTTAAATTTGTTGAAAACTTGCATCTGATCTGTGTTTCCAATTTTTATACTTCTTTCCTCAAGAAATATATGGTACTTCCTCAAAAAATTTAATAGTGTTGATAGAGAAGAACAAGAATGGCCACCAACATAAATGGGAATATGGTTTGTTTTTTTTTTTTTTCTTTTTGGAGACAAGAGTCTTACACTGTCAGTCGGCCAAGCTGGAGTACAGTAGCACTATCTCGGCTCACTGTGACCGCCACCTCCCAAGTTCAAACAATTCTCCTGCCTCAGCCTCCCAAGTAGCTGGGACTATAGGCGTGTGCCATTTTTGTATTTTTAGTAGAGATGGGGTTTCACCGTCTTGGCCAGGACGGTCTCGATCTGTTGACCTCGTGATCAGCTCGCCTCAACCTCCCAAAGTGCTGGGATTACAGGAATGAGCCACCGCGCCCAGCCCATGAGTACTTTTAATGTTTCTGTGATGGTGCCTTTTTGCTTGAGGTACTATTTTTTTAGTTATGTTAAGTAACTAGTCATGTACTTTGACTTTAAAGGTTTTTTTTTTTTTTTTTTCTTCCCAGAAGTGAATGTAGAATTCTGTTACATTCTATTTCAGCATCTTACAGAGATTGTCATGTTGTTTTTCTTCCTTGACCTGTTAGTTGGTAAGTTACTGTGTCTTTGGAAAGACTCCCCCTTGGTTGTGGCATTGTAGTGGTAACATGCTGCTGGGGATTCCATTTACTAATATTAGTATTTTCTCCATAGATCTCATAAGTGACATTGGCCTGTAAGTTCATGTGTACTTAATGATATCCTTAACAGATTTTTTTACATATATAAACATTCTGACTTCATAAGAAGTTTAGAAGTTTTTTGTTTTTTTTTTTGAGATGGAGTTTCACTCTGTTGCCCAGGCTGGAGTGTGCAGTGGTGCAGTCTTGGCTCACTGCAACCTCTGCCTCCCAGATTCAAGTGATTCTCCTGCCTCAGCCTCCCAAGTAACTGGGATTACAGGCATGTGCCACCACTCCCAGCTAATTTTGTATTTTTAATAGAGACAGGGTTTCACCATATTGGTCAGGCTGGCCAAACTCCTGACCTCAGGTGATCTGCCCGCCTTGGCCTCCCAGAGTGCTGGGATTACAGTGTGAGCCACCACACCTGGCCAGAAGTTTTCTTTATTTCTTTGAGGGTTTGTTTTTTTGTTTTTAGAGTTTACAGAACCAGTGCATTCTTTGAGATTTTGAATATATTCTATAGAATTAAAACAGACTGTTGTTCTACTTCCTCTTAATCTGTGATTCCTTATGTTTTTTTCCCCTTTTTTCTTGATTTGAACTAACCATTATCTGTCTTCCCTCCTTCCCTTCCCTCACTTGTTTTCCTTCCTCCTCCTCTACCAAAGAAACAGCTTCTCTTCTACAAGTCTACTTACATGTTTTGAAGACGTTATTGTTCTTGACATGTTCTCTTATCTAATTTTCCATTTCGTCTATGCCTTACTCTGGCTATTTTATTCTGACCTGGCTTTCAATGCACTAATTTCTCTCTTCAACTGTATTTACCTAAAATGCTGTATATCTATCCAGTCTTACTATATTTTTCCATTCTGGAACTTGCATTTGATCTTCTACTTCTTGGATACAGTTCTCAATCTAGTCTTTGATTTCCCTAAACATGCTAATTGTTATTTCAGAATTCATGTTGATAACTTCACTGTGTGAAACCTCTGTAGGCTTGTTGCTGTTGTCTGTTACTTCTCTGGTTTTGGTTTTCTATTGTTGCCTTAGGTTCTTGTTTGCTTATTTTTGATTGAGCGTAAGTCATTGTATACGAAAATTTTGAGATTCTATGTGATGTTATGTTTCTCTATAGAGGACCTTAATTGGTTTCTTGAAGAAGAGTAAAAACAACAGCACCTCACATTCAGGGAGTTAAACTCTCAATGCTGGGATTCAGCTCCCAGGTGGTCCAGGTCCAGTTTGCCTCCCCTTTAGTGGCATAGTCTTCAGGGATTCTCATTAAAGCCTGAGATTCACCATCTCCTTTCTTCCAGGGACTTCCTAGAGGAACTGTTGTTACCAGTGTAGCATGTATCCTTCCAGGTCTTTCCTTTGAATTTGTATGTATTCATGGGTATATGCATGTGTGTACATATACATACTTTTAGAAATGATTTTGTGTCTTACATATTTTAAGTAAATAAAATCATTCTGTGTATGATTTTGTAACTCACTTTTCTTGACTTAATGGCGTTCCTTGGTGAGCTTTCCATTTCATTACAGATTGAGCTACCTCTTTTTTTGGTGGGGGCAGTTATAGAGTATTTTGAGAACAAATAAGTAATAGTTTATTTAACCATTCTGTTAGGGACAAACTTGAAAGTGTCTCTAGGTTTTCTTCTGTTTATGCTGAATATTCTTGTATATGTCCTATTTAGATACATGAGGGTTTATAGAACAGTATGAAAAAGTGATGACAGATATATACATTTTTTATTTTAATAGTGCCAAATTGCTCTCCTAAATTCACCAGCAATAAGTGATAGTATGAGTTTTCACACATCGGCCAAGCACAGTGGCTCACACCTGTAATCCCAGCACTTTGGGAGGCTGAGGTGGGCTGATCACCTGAGGCCAGGAGTTCAAGACCAGCCTAGACAACATGGCGAAACCCTGTCTCTACCGAAAATACAAAAATTAGTCGGATGTGAAGGTGGGCACCTGTAATCCCAGCTACTTGGGAGGCTGAGGCAGGAGAATTGCTTGAACCTGGGAGGTGGAAGTTGTAGTGAGCTGAGATCACGCCATTGCACTTCAGCCTGAGTGACAGAGTAAGTCTGTCTCAAGAAATGGGGGGGAAAAAAAAAAAAAAAGGATTTTCGCACGCATCCTCACCAATGCTTGGTATTATCTAATTTGAAAGTTTGCTAATATTACAGGGAAAAAAATACTGTCTTAATTTTTAGTGAGATTTAGATTATTTTTATATGTTTTTTGAACATTTCTTCTTCTTCTGATGTGTTAACATTCTTTCATTGTTTTCTCTGCTGTGGAGTTATTTTTGTTTTAGTGGTCTCAGGTTAAATTATAATTCATGGCGGGGTGCAGTGGCTCACACCTGTAATCCCAGCATTTTGGGAGGCCAAGGAAAGCAGATGACTTGAGGCAGGGAGTTTGAGACTCGCGTGGCCAACATGGCAAAACTCCATGTCTATTAAATACACAAAAATTAGGCCGGACACGGTGGCTCACACCTATAATCCCAGCACTCTGGGAGGCCAAGGCAGGCGGATCACAAGGTCAGGAGATCAAGACCATCCTTGATAACACTGAAAAAAATACAAAAAATTAGCTGGGTGTGGTGGCACGCTTCTCTAGTCCTAGCTACTCTGGAGAGTGAGGCAGGAGAATCACTTGAATCGGGGAGGCGGAGGTTGCGGTGAGCCAAGATTGCTCCACTGCACTCCAGCCTGGACAACAAAAAAAAAGGAAGAAAAAGCAACACAAAAATTAGCTGGGCATGGTGGCACATGCCTGTAATCCAGCTACTCGGGAGGCTGAGGCACAAGAGTCACTTGAGCCCAGGAGGTAGAGGTTGTAGTGAGCTGAGATCACACAATTGCACTCTAGCCTGGGTGACAAAGGGAAACTGTCTCAAAAATAAAAATAAGTAAAATAAAAATAAATTAAAATTGAAACTGTATCTCAAGCTTTAATCTATGAATGGCTACTTTGATTCTTACAGATACTATACAGTGTGATCAAATCTAAATGTTAAGATAAATGTAAAGAATAGGTAGGTATTGTTAAAGAGAGAGTGTTTTTGTTTCTTTCCTATTCTATCTTGGAAGCTCAGTATAAGTACATAAGGAGGGATAGGCGTAGGAAAGAAATTGAATTATTATTATTAAAATTTCATTTTTTCTTAGACAAATAAACCTCAGACATCACGACCCAATCTCATCAAACCAGCTGCCCACTGGCAAGATCTGAAAAGGTTGGGAGAAGAAAGGCCTAAAAAGTCTAGAGCAGCATTTGAATCAGATAAAAGCCGCTATTTTTCAGTGTATAACAACCCGTTGTTTGATTCTGGGGCACAGGATGATTCTGAGGATGACTACGGTGAATTTCTGGATCTTGGGCCTCCTGGAGTCTCTGAATTCACTAAGCCAAGTGTCCAAACAGATAGAGAACCCAAGCCTGGACCGAGTCGTAACCAAGCAGCAAATGACATTGTCAGCCCCAGATCAGAGCAGAAAGTCGTCATCTTGGAAGAAGGTAGCCTTCTTTACACAGAAAGCGATACTTTGGAAACTCAGAACCAGTCATCCGAAGACTCAGAAACAGAGCTGTTATCAAATCTGGGAGAGTCATCTGCTCTAGCAGATGATCAGGCCATCGAAGAAGACTGCTGGCTAGATCATCCTTACTTCCAGTCTCTGAACCAACAGCCCCGTGAGATAACAAACCAGGTTGTTCCTCAGGAACGGCAGCCTGAAGCAGAGCTGGCCCGCTTGTTGATTCAGCATGAATTCCCCGGGCCAGCTTTTCCAAGGCCAGAACCCCAGCAAGGTGGGGTTTCAGGCCCCTCTTCTCCTCAGTCTGCCCATCCTCTAGGAGAGTTTGAAGACCAACAGTTAGCAATTGATGATGAAGAGCCAGGTCCAGCCTTTCCAATGCAAGAATCTCAAGAGCCCAATTTGGAAAACATTTGGGGGCAAGAGGCTACAGAGGTAGATCAAGAACTTGTTGCACTATTAGTGAAGGAAACGGTAAGTTTTATTTTATCAAGTAAATAATTGTAGACATTACATATACTGATTGATTTTTCATTGCAAAAAAAGGAAAAAAGTTTGTATATGTGGACTTCATTTTCTTTAGAGGTATATATCTAGATATATAGAATAGAAGAGAAATGCTGAAGACATGAAAATGGAATCAGCCTTTCTTTACTATACCTTACCGTTCAGGAAGCTGTCTGCGATTCTAACTTCATATCACAGTTGTCTAGTGCTGTCATACCTGCAATCCCTCGTTTTTTTCCAAAGGCCTTGAGTTCACTCCAATTGCAAACCCTTAAAGCAGGTTTATTGAATTACCTAGACCTATCCTGTCCAGTATGGCAGTCACTAGCCCCTTGTAGCTGTTTACATTTAAATGTCTTACCGTTAAATAAAATTAGAAATGGCAGTTTCCATTGGCACCAGTCACGTCTCATGTAGCCACATGAGGCTGACAGCTTACCTCATCATCAAGCATAGAGGAGAATGTTTCTGTCATCATACAGAGCTCTTTTAGTGCTGATATTAAGAGTAACACAAGGTATTACATCCAGTAGCCACTGTTTGCCTTCAAACAAGTCCCTTAACCCTACTTTACCCAGGTGTTTTTTGTTTATTTGTTTGTTTGAGATGGAGTCTCGCCCTGTCACCCAGGCTGGAGTGCAGTGGTGCAATCTCTGCTCACTGCAACCTCTGCCTCTTGGGTTCAAACGATTCTCCTGCCTTATCTTCCCTAATAGCTGGGATTACAGGCACCCACCACTATGCCCAGCTTATTTTTGAATTTTTTTTTAGTTAGAGACAGGGTTTCACCACGTTGGCCAGGCTGGTTTCAAATTTCTGACCTCAGGTGATCCACCCCCATCGGCCTCCCACTGGGATTACAGGTGTGAGCCACCGTGCATGGCCGCCCAAGTGTTTTTTTATCTAGCCACTAGATTGTGTGCTGCTCGAGGACTCTTATGGGATTGTGCCTTGTGTTTTGATTTCCTTTGCCTAGACAGCTGCTCAATATTTGTTGAAACAATAATGAATGGATCTGTAACATGGGGACAGAGGACCAGATCTGGAGACCTTTCTAGACCTTGTCTTCTATGTAGACAGATTGATCTGGGAACTAGTTTTGAACTTGAAGACACACACAGACCTACTTCACAGCCCTTTTCTAGTCTTTAGTCATTTTATTATACTTTTTGCCATCTGTCTTGTATTGCCATTTGAAACCATTCTAGTGAATGAAATGTAAATTATGTTCTTATTTGTTTCTAGGAAGCAAGATTTCCAGATGTAGCAAATGGATTTATTGAGGAAATAATTCATTTGAAGAATTATTATGATCTGAATGTGTAAGTATACTACCATAGTTTTTTTGTTATGGTGGTAAAATATATATAACATAAAATTTGTCGTTTTAGTCCTTTTTAAATATACAATTCAGTGTTAAGTAAATTCACATTATTATGCAACTATCACCATCATCCATCTCCAGAACGCTTTCATCTTCTCAAACTGAAACTCTGTCCCCATTAAACACACTCCCCTTTCCCCTCCCTAGCCAGTGGCACCCACCATCCTACTTTCTGTCTTCGTGGATTTGACTACTATCAGGGACGTCGTGTATTTGTTCTTCTCTGACTGGCTTATTTCACTTGGCATTATGTCTTTTTTAGTGACCTTATTCATTCTGATATTAGTCATATACAGACTGTTTTCTGGATCTTGTGGAATACTGCATGGTTATAGAATTATGAGACTGAGTTTCTGAGCATTGATACTACCTGTGTTTTAGTCAAGATGTTAGAAGACATTTTTTTCCCTACAATTGTAACAAAATATTCTGCAACCACTCTGTTTGGAGAAATACATGGAAGCATTTCTTAATTTTTATTATAAAAGGGATAAATATGGGCCAGATCACAGCACTTTGGGAGGCTGAGGCAAGAGGAGTGCCTGAGTCCAGGAATTCAAGGCTGCAATGAGCTATATTCATACTACTGCATGCCAGCCTGGATGACAGAATGAGACCATATCTCTATTAATATATATGCTTTTTTAAAAAGTAAGTTTTCCTGAAGATTATAAAAGGAAAAATAAGTCTCATACTCTTCCCCTTCCTCTGACCTGCAGAGGTGAAACAGTTGTGTAAAAAAAAAATTTTTTTTTTTTTTTTTTTTTTTTTTTTGAGACGGAGTTTCGCTCTTGTTGCCCAGACTGGAGTGCAATGGCGCAATCTCGGCTCACCGCAACCTCCGCCTCCTGGGTTCAGGCAATTCTCCTGCCTCAGCCTCCTGAGTAGCTGGGATTACAGGCATGCGCCACCATGCCCAGCTGATTTTTTGTATTTTTAGTAGAGACGGGGTTTCACCATGTTGACCAGGATGGTCTCGATCTCTTGACCTCGTGATCCACCCGCCTCGGCCTCCCAAAGTGCTGGGATTACAGGCTTGAGCCACCGCGCCCGGCCCAAAAAAATTTTTTTTTTAAAGATGGAGTCTCGTTCTGTTGCTCAGGCTGGAGTGCAGTGAGACAGTCTTGGCTCACTGAAATGTCAACCTCCCAGGTTCAAGCAATTCTCCTGCCTCAGCCTCCTGAGTAGCTGGGATTACAGGCGTGTGCTACCACGCCCGGCTAATTTTTGTATTTTTAGTAGAGATGGGGGTTTCACCATGTTGGTCAGGCTGGTCTCAAACTCCTGACGTCATGATCTGCCCTGCTCGGCCTCCCAAAGAGCTGGGGTTTTTAAGTGGTGTTTTAGATCAGTCACAATCATTTTCTTTTTGATACTGAAATTGTCCCAGATTTGACCACCAGTGTCTTTTGATCTGATGCCTTTAGTCTTTGAGTACTTCCTTGCTTCCTAGTATACCTTGTTGTCCCAGGCTTACCTTGAATTCTCTGCCCAGAACCTGAAATCATTCATTCTCCGAGAGACCCAGCTTTCTTAAAATGAGGATTGATATTTTTAAACATCTCAGGGCTAGATGTGCTCACCATTGCTACTGGCATGTCATCTCTCTAGGTCCTTTCAAGGGACAGACCAAGGAAATATTTTGGTTGGTAGTTGTTTTTGTTTGTTTGTTTGTTTGTTTGTTTGTTTGTTTTTGAGATGGAGTCTTGCTCTGTCGCCCAGGCTGGAGTGCAGTGGCGTGATACCAGCTCACTGCAACCTGTGCCTCCTAGGTTCAGGTGATTCTCCTGCCTCAGCCTCCTAAGTAGCTGAGATTATAGGCGCCTGCCACCACACTAGGCTAATTTTTGTATTTTTAATAGAGACGGGGATTTCACCATGTTGGCCAGGTCTCGAACTCCTGACCTCAAGTGATCCACCCGCCTCAGCCTCCCAAAGTGCTGGGTTTACAGGCGTGAGCCACCATACCCAGCCCAGTAGTTGTTTTTTAAATCAGAAATTCATATTCATAATTTCCAATTCAAATTTAACATGAAGGTTTTTTTCTTAATCTTTTTTTGAGACAGAATTTCGTTTTGTTGCCCAGGCCCAGGTTCAAGAGATTCCCCTACCTCGGCCTCCCGATTAGCTGGGATTACAGACATGAGCCACCACACCAGCTAATTTTTGTATTTTTGGTAGAGACGGGGTTTTGCCATGTTGGCCAGGCTGGTCTTGAACTCCTGGACCTCAGGTGATCCCCCTGCCTCAGCCTCCCATAGTGCTGGGATTACAAGTGTGAGCCATGCACCTGGCCTTTCCTTAATCTTTATAAATTTTACTTAACATGCTTCTCAGTAAGGCAAAACCGTTAAGCACGTAGGCTATGAGGCCATAGATTGGTGATATTGGTCAGTTCTGGAAATTTTGTAGCTATTTCCTGTCTTATGTAACTTCTCCCACATCTTCCATGTCTCTAAATCCACCTCTTTGTCTCTGAGATACGTTCTGGATGATCTTTTCAGAGCTGTCTTCTAGCCCACAAACTTCTCTTTGGTAGAGTATGATCTACTTTTTTTTTTTTTTTTTTTGAGTCGGTGTCTTGCTCTTTTGCACAGGATGGAGTACTGTGGCATGAACTCAGCTCACTGCAACCTCCGTCTCCCAGGTTCAAGCGACTCTCCTGCCTCAGCCTCCCGAGTAGCTGGGACTACATGCACGTGGCACCAAACCCAGCTAATTTTTTGTATTTTTAGTAGAAATGGCATTTCGCCATGTGGGCCAGGAAGGTCTCCATCTCTTAACCTCATGATCCGCCTGCCTTGGTCTCCCAAAGTGCTGGATTATAGGCGTGAGCCACCTCACCCTGCCCAAGTGTAATCTCCTTTTAATCCATCCACTGTGTTACTGTATTTCGGTTATATTTTAGCTTTTAATCCGCTTGGTTATTTTCCTAGAGTTTTGCTCTTTGCCTGTATTTTTAATCCTTTTTATTTCTTTAAACAATAACATACGTTCTCTTCTTTTTTTTTTTTTTTTTTTTATTAGGTTCTTGGGAATCGTATTCTGTTCCTGCCGGCTTCCATGGTGCCTTGCTCTCTTGTGTGTTTTCTAAGTTTAACTGTAAGCTCATGTGT